TGCTGTTATGAAGATACAGAGTTTAATTGCCCATGCACGCTGCTGAGTCACAAATCCATCTTGTCTCCCAACCTCAACAAAGAGCTTTTAATATGTGAGGATATTCCCAGAACCAGGAGCACACCAAACAATGATCCTGCTAGAAGGAGGGATAAGAGAATGAGATGTGAAACTTTATCCACCCTGCTAGATCTCACTGAAAACAGCACCACATGATGGTCAACTCCATCAAATACTGCCAACAGATCTGGCTACATTAGCATAGTAATTAGATTACAAGTTTATAGCTAAAAGAAGATGGCCCACCAGAGCAATCACCATTGTCTCAGTGCAATATCTTCATCTAAAAACCCAGATGTGAGAATATTTTTGGCAGAAAACAGGCAATAATAGGTCCCTCTTGGTTATGCCCCCTCAAAAGCTATCTTTTGTTTTATATGTATCTCAACTTCTAGCTAAAGGGAAGTGTGTGATGAGCAGTGAAATTGCTTCCAAATTTTAGGCTAGCCAGCATGCATCTTACATCTAGTATAGAATATTTGACCTCATTTTTCTCAGACTGCCCCTGTAATAACACCTTGTGGAGGTGCAAAGTCACAGGGCAGTACTCATTACATGATGACCAAACACTTGGGACTAATTCCCACACTAGAGTTTTATTTCCAAAATCTGTAGTTCTCTTTCTGTCTCCTTCTTACTATATAGTGTCTGGCTGTCAGTCTGCTTAGTCTTTATTCTACTTTCCACCCTCATTTGCCCTAGAATTTCTCAGTAAATTTTTTTCTGGCACATATGAATACCATAATGTCATAATTTGCTCAATGTTTGAATCCAGGCTGTCAGAATAGGTTCAAAACATGTCCACTGGTCCTAATAAGCAATGCAAACATTCAACATGTAGTACAATGCTGACACTGGCTAAGAGAACTCTTACACTGTTTCATTTCATTCAATCCTCCTTTATCTGTGCTTCAGGGCAGCTGCCAGACTGTCACGTCACCGTATTTCTGCTTTTTATTCCAGGTATTTTAGGACAGAAGAGGAACCAGAACACTGGAATTACATATTTAATGGTATGGTGTCTTGTTTCAACAGATTGTGAATCACTTTGGAGGCACACTCAGTTTCATGTATCAGTTCATTTCTCTGTCAATTTATATAGACAGCTTGTCAACAGATGTTGAATCAGTGCAGAACTTTCTACTACTACTGGGTGTGCTGTTGGGAGTAAGAGAATTTTGTTTGTCTCAAATTCAGAGGATGTGTAGAGACCAAAGCACAATATTCATGTTTTACTTCTCTGACATTTAGTAGTAACACTGCTCTAAGAGGGGTTTTGGTGAGGTTTTCTTCAGTCTATGCAATGCCTAAGAGCAGTCAGTCGTAGCTGAGAAATACAGACTCTGCAGTACGGATGGAGATCATCTGCTAGTGTTCCTTCAGTCAAAATTGAAAGACAAGCATGAAGAACATATCCTTCAAGAACTTAACGAAGGCCTTTAAAGTATTTAAATCATTTAAGAAATTGACAACTAATTTTGTGTGAACACCGTGGGACCAATAACTGAAACACCAAAGAAACTGTCTCCCACTTTAGAACTGGAGTAAAATAATGTACTAACCTCCGGAAAAAAAAAAAAAAAAAAAAAAAAAAAAAAAGCAGCTACTGTTTTCTTTTGGCCGTCTTTTGAGACAGGAGCCCATTAGAATAAAATAGCTCCACAGTTAACTCCTTGAAGTGTTTAAGTCAAGTTAGGTTTGTTTTTAAAGACTTCTTAAAAGCAAAACTTTGTAATAGCTGAAGAACAACAGACACTTTGAATTGCCTACTATTTTTGAATGAGCACACAACTTGCTTGGAAAGGCTGCGATAATTACCCCAGCATGCCAGTTACTGAGCAAATTAAGTTTATACCAAGTTGCTAGCAGTTGTTTTTTGGTTTTTTTAAGAAACATGCAAATGCCCCATAGCAATGCTTAGTATAGGCAAATTTTAGCCTCCTAACTGAGAAAAGGAGCATGTTGTAGGTGGTGTATTTCTAGCTAATTAGCTGAAAATTAAAAAAGCTCAAGGAAATAAAATGAAACTACTTGCTGAATGGTTTATGCCCTGGAGCAAAACACCTTCATAATGATAAAATGCTTTTAATCACCAAAGGTTTGTCTAATCGGCTCTCTACTGATATACAACACACAGCACTGAAACTGTGCCAGTGTGGCCCGTCCCAAAATTCACTGCAGTAAATGATAATGGCACTTGGAATTGATTTGCCTAATCTAAAACACCCTCTGAAGGTCTAATCCTTCCCATTTGGGAAAGGATCAGGCCAAACAGGCACAGTTTTGTCACAGCTGCTGTTTGAGTCATGGTTTTCATATTAAATTTTTCTTTAAACATAAGAATCCCGAGTTCTGACTCCTTGAAATGTCTGTATCTGTGTAGGTGGCTGAGCTAGCTTTGCCATAAACTTTGAAAAATGACAAATGGAAACGTGGGCTGTGTGAAAAGTTCAGCAAGAGCAAAGGGGTTTCCTCACAGCTCACGACAGTGGTGCATGGGGTTTCTGTCCCACCTCTTGTGGGGGAACGGTCCAAGTGCCCAGAGGGCACTTAGGGGGCTTACACTGTGTATGCTAGCAGTCCTCGGAGAAGTAGTCATGAGTGTGAGTAACTGTGACCTACCCTCCACACCAAACTTTCCTCCAAACTTTTTTAGTAGCTGTCGCTGCTAAACTGAGCTAAAAATCTACACAGAAAACGTGGTTAACGAGCCTAGACTGGTCTTACTGTAGAGTAAAAAGTAGTTTTATTTCAGCGAACTGACCTGTAATTTTGGGCAGGTTTCAGTTTCAATTCATGACCTGTTATCTTTCTTCTCTAACTGCGCTGACTACTCCTGTTGCGAGAAGGCAACACCACCCTGCCACTGTCTCACTGCTTCCAGAAGATGACTCTGCTACTTTAACCATTGAGCTGCTCGTCTACCAGAAGTCATAGGAAACATGCAGAAACCTGCCAAGAATAGGGTTTCTGACGCAGGCACTGGCTCCGTACCAACCCGGCTGACACAGACAGACTGCCGCCACCCTTTCGTAATTCATTTCTTTTTTGTTACATGTCAGGCTTCAGAAGGTGCTGATTACATTTACGTAGTTGATGAGCTTCCTAATCCAGTATCCAATTTCACCTGCATGTTGAATTTTTAATCTTGTAAAGATTCTTAAATCCATAGCTGGAATATGCCCTCTGCACTGGAAGAACCTGTAGTGGAACATGTATTATATAAGCTAAATGCATGTAGGTTGTTTGTTTTTTTGTTTTTTAAGTTGTAAAACAAAACTTGGCTTTAATCCCAAAGCAATTAATTTTTTCCTTTAACTAAAAAAAAAAAATCAAGACATCTGATCTTTTCAGTGTTATATATAACTTCCATCAGTTGATGAGTACAGCTTGAATAGATCAATCTGAAGAAATATGTTTGCAGCATGCACTCATTGAGTGAAATTAAATCTACAACACTCAGAAGGTTAATTTGTATATCGTTATTAGAAGCTTCAGTGACCTTCATTACAATCCTCTGAGTGCATTACCTCAGGAAACTAAAATTCAGTAGGCATGCTACCTTTCTCAAATATCTCACTGGCCATCAGGGACTAATAGATGTGTAATTCAAATATGAGGTTGCATTTTTTTGTTAGTGCATATGGTTATCATTGTACTACATAGCTGCCAGGTTATCTAAAAGGGGAAACATGCTCAAACATTGTGAAATAGCAAACAACTGGCATATTCTGCCGTTAAAACTATGTCCCTCCCTCCTTCCTCCCCCCTTTATTTGTACTAAGGAGCCAGACAAGCTACAGGTGTGAGGAATAGTCTTTACTCACCAGAACTTTAAAAGTGGATCCATGGCTGGCTTTAAACAAAAAGAAGGCAAAATCTTTGCTCTGAGCTGCTCTGTAACAAACTGTGACTAGGGAGATCCTTAAATGAGATAAAAGACAGAAAATTTATAGCACCACGGTGAGGCTGTATGTACTCACACAACCCAAACTAAGCAGGAGCGGGACGGCTTCGCGCTTGGATTGCAAATCCATAGGGAACACCCCTGCGCACAGGTTTTGGCTGCCTATGGCTGCCACAGATCCTGGAGCACTTTGCAATGAACATGTGTTATCCCTAACGTCTAAACTCTGGTTGGGGTAATTACACTCGGCTTAGTTAACCCCCGTGGAAATCAGAGCAGTACACAGCTCTCTACCGTCTGCTCTGAAACACTGTCTGGAGCTGGTTGGCAAGGTTCAGCTTCACGCCAAAGGTGGTTGGTTGTGCTTCGCTAGTTGGAGAAGTGATCCCTGTGTGCTGGCTGTAACTGTGTGTGAGATGATTTGAGACCTGTTAGGGTAAAAGATGTGAAAACGTGAAGCATTACATTCCTGTTATTCCAAGAAAGGCCTTATGCCATGAGTGATGGGCAGGGGCTGAGGGAGCGTTTCAGAAGTGTGAGCTGGGGCAATTCCAGGGACGTAGAGCTGCAGCGAAATGCCCACAGGGAAGAGAGACAGATAGAAGTGGTTTGGGCACAGCTCTGGAAAGTCAGAACTCTGTACTTACCCCATTTTAGCAAGAGCTGGAGCTATTTCTTCAAGAACTTCCTTCAAGAAATGTAGGTGAAGCAACATGCCGGTTAAAGAAAGGTAACATCATCTATCTACATGGCTGGTCTACTGTCACAACAAATGGAGAAGGTTTGCAAGGCACCTAGGAAGTAGAAGCACTAATTAAATATTTTTCTTTATCATCCCGTTTCCCATAGACGGCAATAAACTTTTTACGTTACCTGTTTTAGTAGCCAACTACAGCTATGCCTGGCCTCTCCCTGGCAGCTCACATTTGTTTGCCAGCACCTACCTCGGGGTGTGTCACCGCAAACAAAACCTGCGAGCGGAGCGCTCGGGCAGGAGGGGCGGGGGCGCAGGTCTCCGCGCGGGGACGGACCGGACGGCAGACGCTGCGTTTACCTGCCCCCGCGGGGACCCACCCGCCCGGCACCGGGGTGGGGTGGTGGGGAGGAGGAGATCTCCCGTTCAGGCGGGGGCCCCACCGCAGCCCGCCCGGCCCCAAAGTTTTGCGGTGAAAGTTTGTGCGTCGGCGCCTCCCGGGAGCGGCGGGCAGGTGAGGGGCTGCCGCGAGAGGTTGTGTTTTGTACAGACTTTGTTCTCAGAAGCAGTGCAGGTGCTATGGACTGCTTTCAGTCCCCTAGTACAGTTCCTATGGAAAGATTTAATGGCATTAGCAATGAATATACACTTCTTCACTAAAATGAGTCTTGTTTACAACCATTGCTTCATTAAAAGAAGTTTTGTCTTTGGAAATATATTGAAGGGATAATGAGGAAATAGTGACTTTAATAGATTAAAATGGCCAAATCAAATGCAAACTTTTTTTTTTTGCCACGTTATTAATTTTGTATAACATGTTTTATGCTATAAAGTGCATTAATAACAAAACATAATTGCTATAACAACATTGTGGTCTGCTATGTAACAAGGGAGAGTGAAGTAGAAAAATGTTAAATATGTGCAACTTGGCTGGGTGGGAAGTTACTTTGGTGATGTTGATGTTCGGAATTTCCTGACTACTCTTGAAATTTGAAATTTTTAAGCTCTAGTTTTTTTAAAGGGGCTTTATTGTTTCAGGATTTGCAGTGGGTGAGTGAAGGATGCTCACTTTGTTTAAACAGCTCTCTCCTTTGAAAAGAAATACCTACATATTTCATACAAATATTTCATTATTTTGTTTTATGGAACTCTAACAAAATTCTCTTAACTCAATGTGCAAGGTTGGTAGGTAGTAATCTTCCATTATTGCCAGTGATAAAAGCTGTGCAGGCCAACTGCCTTCAGTTACACTTCGACACAACCTTCTTACACGTAGCTCTTCAGGTGAAGAAGTTACTGAGGTGTCAGTAGGACTGATGTACCGGTGAGCCTGGATGCTGGGTATCTCTCTCTTTTGCACCAGGTACTGAAATACTGTCTGTCATGGGGTGAGAGAAAAACTCATCACTGCCCTACCCTGCCTGTACTCAGTCCCTGTAGTGAGGCCTGCCAGATTGTTAACCATCCCCTACCCCCCACAGCCCCCCAGTAGATGCCTATTGACAGGAAAGGCTTATGGGAAGGTTGGGTTGGGTTTTTTTAAATGTTTTATTTCTACAAA